AAAAAAAAAAAGTCATTTATCCAACATCTGGAAAATCAAGAGAATTAAGATTCAGTCGACGGATTTCCGCTCAACGTCGAGGGGCGGAAGTTCGTTGGGGAACCAGCAGACACAAGCCTTCGCTTAAACGTTCACCGCCGAACACTTATCGGGCCCGGGTAGCTTTTCCACTTGACCTTGCGTGAGTATAAGCCGCGCGTGCTCACCGTCGGGTCATGTCATGCTGAAAAAAAAAGAACAAGTAGGGATTGCGATATTTTAAAATAAGAATGGCTTCCGTGTCGTCTGGGAAGAAGCCGACGACGACGACGACGATGATGACGATGATGATTCGCGCAGGTCCCGACGAGGTCGTGTCACTTTGCGGCGCGGAGCAGGAAATGAAGCCGATTTGATGGATCGCCGGATCCTGTCTGCGCGGAAAAGTGGCACGGGCTGCATGGAACGGTTGATTCCATTGCCATTTTTAAGAACATGATACAAATCACGAGGGAAGAAAGTACAGAAAAGAAGAAGAAATTCCCGCGGGGTATAAATCACTCAGAATAAAGATGAATTCCTTGCTCGGTATTTCAAATGCAGTACGAGTACTGTACTTCACTTGGTTTACACGTTTCACACGACTTGTAAAAATAACATTGAAAGCTCTCCTTAAAATTTTGGCACTGTTTGATTGAACTTATCCAAAGTGCTTTTATATATTACGGTACTTTTGGAATGCAATGCCTCCAAAACGGAACGGATAGTTTTGCATCGCAAATATCATTCCAGAGAACTTCGCATGCCAAAGAAGGCTCGACATTCACTTAACATTGTACAGTACTGTACAATATTCATGTAAAGCCTCGACTACTGAGCAGCACTGTTTTTAAAATGTACTTTCCTCAAAATGAGATTTTCTCCTATTCCAGGGGGATTGAAAGATTTATTGTTAATTTAACCACCGATTCAGAATGCTACAGAAAATTCCTGATACCTGATGAAGATATTTTCTCAAAACAAGATGTTGTCCAGGCAACGTTGGAGCATCTTACTCGAAATTTTACAGGACCTTCCCTATTAACTAACAAAAAGTAAAATATGTGTACTGTTTCCCAAGTTTGAGAAGAAAACATGGTAGAAAAGACTAGAGAATAAAATTTAAAAAAAAACTCCCGAGATAGCCTGAACGCTGTCTGAAACTCGATCACCTTTTTATAAGAGCATGTAGTATAAATTGATCTTGAATTTAATCTGAATTTTCGAAATTTAGTCTTATAATATCATATTTATATTTACTTGATTTAATTTTTCATTGCTCCATGCATTTTTCGCATGATAGACTATTCATGTGAAATCATATGAATCTAAGGCCTGATAATTAAACTAAAAGATGTGCAAGATTCTCAGTTGAACGTCAGTTTTTTTAAATTCAGAAGAAATTTAGAATTTCCTCATGCTGAATACATTTTGTTAATGGAACCGTGATGTTTTTTTATTGCCTTGAAAAATACGCCCCGTCAACAGCCTGGATTATTGAAATTTTCGCACGCAGTAAATTTCTGACAGCTTCATTATTGAAGGCGTAATAATCGAACTATATGTACTGATCATAAATGAAAAGATAATTTAATTAATTTTATTTAGTTAAATTCGGAAGTAGTTATCTCGAGTCATGCAGCGGACTTTCTTAAAAAAAGTAACATATTTTTTGAATTCACAAGTTCCAGGCTGTTCAAGAGCCACGGCAGAAAAATGTTAAGCAAAAATCGCGAGTGCAACAGGTTATCGATCGGATTGCACAAAGAAATGTAATTTTCATTTGACCCACGATGTTCATGCGGCAGATTCCATTTTTTCGAGCTATGAAAACTTTTAAAAGAACCTCAATTCAATATAGTAAATAGTAGGTAACTACTAAAGGGATGTATTTTTTTCATGCATTACATTCGGTGGTTATGGAATTCAATACACGATTGTCAAAAGAAATGTATCGACGAGATAAATGCTCTGCTTCCTTTCATATTCTCCGGAACGGATTCTTCCCAGAGATGACGATGCCCGAGGCCATAATATTTCCTACAATATTTAAATACGCCGCTCGTCGCGCGCTGTCGGATTCACCGTCGGTTCGACTAAAGAGAGAAAAGAAATGTTCGAATATGAATAAATAGATAAATAAATAAAACCCCGGAGCGGATCAGGTGGTTCTCAACTTCTGATCCGAATCGGGAAGGAAGGAAAACCCCCTCAGGGATCTGGTTTCCTCGTGCTGAGAGTTGGATTTCTTCCAACGTCTTTCCGCGTGCGCAGCCGTAAGCTATTTTTATTGCCCTGGGAAGAAAAAAAAGGACGAAAAACGCCGCGCTGTCCGAAACTCCGCTTGTCACCGCGGATGAGCTTCTGGCATCAATCTAAAGCCCCTGGGGTTAATGGTTTTTATTTTTCGGTTACCTCCTCAAGTCATTCCGCAGTGAT